AGGTTCCTTACTGTCCAGAGCATTGTAGATAATTCAAAAGACTTGATACTTTGTCTTGATATTTTCTCTCCTTTCCTTCCACCCCATCTTTCTCCCTTTTTTACTCTCTTTGTTGCGGTGATGAGTTCCTTCCAGAGGAAAAACAGGAAATCCAGAAAAGGTAGAGTACTTCAGTGTCCCATCAGTTTTTCTTCTCCAGTTTGACATTTACTAATCCCCAAATATATTTGAATTAAGATTCTGTTTTGCTAGCTGCCTTCCGGATTGTAATTCTGGTCTCCATCTAAGGCCAGGATCACCGGACATCTGAAAAATAATCAGATTCACCTAGAATGCAAGGAAAGAAAGACTTATTTTCAGAAAAAAAGGAAATCCAGACAACCAACACTGCAGAGAACAGAGCCTGAGCCCCTAAGCAACCTGCCAAGAGAACCAGAGGAACCAAATGAAGAGCCTTACTGCAGTTTATCATTTGAAAAGCTTTGTAGGAGGAGGGAGGTAGGGAAACTTACCGTTTTGTTCATGTGAAAATGTTTTCTGTCCTATCTCTTGACAGAGTAGTTCTGAGTTACCGAATTTATTCCTGGGTCTAGCAGTTTTTAATAGGTGGTTGCAGAGGTCCAGTTTCTTAACATGATAAAGAAAGATGGTATAACCTCCTGGGCCTAAAATGAAAAGTCACAGGAATGAGTGTTATCCCATCTCTACATTCTCTAGTACTCCCTAAAGAGTATAGTATGTTCTCTCAGACAGTGCCCTCTCCTGGCTAACATGTAAATTCTACATCATTTTTGATTCTGTAATCCTAGAACTTGTATCTTTAACACATCTGAAGATGAATGAATGCCTTCAGAAATCTCTAATTTATTTCTATCTAAATTATCAGATTCCACCCTTGTGCAAACTAGTAATTAGGCTGAAAGATTGAGAAATGATTCCTCTGGAAGTGACCACCTCATGATTTTTACCTTAGCTGTCCAAAGACTGAGAAATAACCAATTTGTTTATCTAAATGTCACCCCCAGCTTTTCTTCTGTGTACATTTAATCACAACATGGTGTTCTTTATCCAATGTGACTAATGGGTAACCTTGAGTACCCCAGAAGCAGAAGGAGCAAGTATATTAGTGGAGACCTTAGGGCCAGGAGGCTTCATGCTCAAATTATTAGATGTGCTCTGGGAAACTTGGAGGGTACTCCTTCCTGTTTTCTTGGAGAGCACTAGGATGTAAGTTGTCTGAGATACTCCTGCCTGCTTACTAGAAAATTGAATAGTGTGTATTTGGAATGGGGCTTTTGTTATTTCTCTTCAGAAAAGAGATTAATAATATATGGTCATAATAGCTAAACTCACTAATAATCCTTTGGACAAACAATCTGTTCATTTCACAGATAAAGAACTGTGAATCCTAGTGGAGGGTCTCTTTACTTTACTGGCTTTCCTTATCCCCAAATCAGTTAAGTGCCTCAAACCAGGAAGATAAAAATGCCTGATTTGGGCATTGTTACCCAGAGATACTCACTTGCCCTCAAATGAGAAGAACATGGGTGGAATCTAGGATTTTGGAAGCAAACAGTGCCATTCGGCTAAGAATATTCTCAAGCTCAATGACATGTAGGCCTCAGACATACTTGAGCCCTTGACATGAGATGGTCTGCCTTATGATGTATTTCCTGTACCCACTCTATAGGCCCAGCATCTTTGAACTGTCCTTTGCAGTGCCGAGATGTTACATTCTCAAACCTTACAGAAGCTTATAAAAATATTTAGATAGATACTCCTCTTAAAGTCATAAACTTGAAATGGTATAGTTTCTCCATTCCTGCCTCTCTCATCCCTTCTGTAAGCTTAATGTGATAAACTGCAGTAAGCCTTCATCCTCCTACATCTTTTCCCATATTGTATTACCCTCTACCTTTCTTGCTCAGGTGCTCAGGTGACTCAGGCGCTGTTCTCTGCAGAGTTTGATATCTGGGTTTATTTTTCTGATGTGAGCCTTTCTTTTCACTTGCTCTCCAGGTGAGCCTGGCATTTGCTAGGAACCAGAGTGGACCCGGCAAGTGGCCAGCAACAGAGTCCTGATCCAATTGGAGAAAGGGAACCAGGCGTACCTCAACCTGGAGTGGGAAACTTGATAGGAGGTCAGAAGTATTTCAGCTTTGGATTTTCATTTTCCTTATTTAAGGAACTGAGCACCAGAAGGTAGACACTGAGGAAGGAAAGAGAGAAAATATCAAATCTTCAGTATGCCTTTCAGATTTCAGTTGTGGCCTTATTTATCAAGTTATGGATAGTGAAAAATAATGGAATTAAAATTTATAAGCAATCAGAATTGCATGACAGGTCGTTTCCTTGCATGATGGAACATCATGTGTTTCCTTGGAACACTTAAAAGGACATAGAAGTAAAGATGATGGGTATTTTGACTACCATTTATTACTTTAGGTAGTACCATTTCTTAGGTTTGTTTTTTTTTTTTTTCCATTTCATGTTACTGATTTGTTTTTGAGTCACATGGTTACTTATGTTTTTGGCCATTTCTCTCATAACTTTATACAATTGTTTTTGCTATCAACTCTGGGCTTTCCCATTTCACAACTCTTTTTTTTTCTGTTAAATTCTAATCTAGGACCCAAGGCTTAAACTTTAAAAAGAACCAAAAAAGTGACCACAATACTCAGTGAAAAGAGAAGTTACAAAGTTCACAGTACAATAGTTTTTTAAAAACATACTTAATATTAAACACATTTGAAAGTTGCATCTTCCAACACCTTAGCATGGGCCTATACTCATGGGGTTGTAACTTTTTTTCTCTTTCTCCTTTCTTTCATTCAAACATATCTACATATATATCACACACATTTACATCTTGGTATAGAAAATTGCACAAATAAAGCTTGATGAGTTTTTATGAGGAAAAACATTAATGAGCACCATGTGTGTATGTTGTAATGCCTTATTAATGCATGAATATGATTGAGTTTTCTGTGGCCTTCTGGTTATAGGTATTCATCTGTTTGTGTCTCCAGTAATGGCAGAACTAATTTCTGATTTCCTTTCTTACCACGAGAGACCTTGAATCTTCTTTCTGTTCTGAGGTTATCATCATTGTGTACTTATTAGTAATAAACTTCACTCTGGTACATTTCTTCTTTTGCTGAGATGTCTTGATTTCCAGTTTTCTTCCTTCCATATTCAGGCTATTATTCACTTATTCCTAATTTTCCTAATCATTGTCACTCTTATTTTATTTTGCTTCTTCATTTTATTTACTTCAGTAACATCTGGAATTCCCTCTCATTTCCTGTGAGACCATTGGTCATGAGACAAATAGCAGTTTGAACTATGGCAGCAATTACTATTCTCATTGATAAGTCTTTAATATATTTTTTATCTACCCAGGTTATTGTTACTATTTCCCTTGCATTAAAATCACACTGCAATTTGTTTTCTCTTTGATATAGATTGGTATGTATGCTGAGCTTGCTCATTCTTTACAGATTTTTGCTTTTTCTCACAGTTTTTATTTCTTTGACTTAGTCTCTGCAGTATCTGACTACTCTGTTGAACTTTGAGCTGCTTCTGGTAGGAAAGTTTGCTTTCGTACTCACATCATACGTCTCTGTTTTACTAATTATTTTCCTAGTAAGCAAAAGAAATGACATATTAGGTGAACTGCATTTTCTTTTTAGTACCCACTAAATAATCTGGCATATTGTTAATTTGAAATTTGTGGCCCTAGAGACCAAAACTACAATTGGAAAGATTCTTGTCAATATTACAGATATATGTCAGAGAGGAAACTGTGAAAGAGGAAGCCAGAGAGAGAGGCTGGCTACGTAAGTATATTAGAAGAGGAGGCTATAAGCTAGTTCTCTTTGGCTGTGTGACATTACTCCAATCATTAGACAGATTGTTGGATCTTTTTCTTGATAAACTAGAAAAGCCAGGCTTCTCTGGGTGGTTGTGAAGAAACACCTGAGATTATGTGAATAATGCTTTGAAAATAGAAAGTACTGTACAAATGTAAAATTTCAATTCAGACACTGAAAAGAGTTTGAGCATTGGTTTCAGTAGTGATTTAATTAGAGATGATATGTGATGAATTTTTATTTTTGTGATAGTGTTTAAAAGTGAGATATACTTTATCTCACTTGTATATCTTAGATGTAAAGATTTCTTTGAATGTTTTCTTCTTTAATTGTCTTCTGCTGTGAATTTGCTGCCATTCATATGCCTTTGGACTGTGCTAATCAGATCGTCTTCTCATTTCTTCCGTCTCCCCCCCCCCACTTATGATAGATGTTTTAGTTTTTCATATGACAACTGCATTTCAGTTGAACCAAAAGCTTAGAAGAGTCACAACTCCATTTTTTGATGACTTTTATTGATCTCTCATTCAAGGAGCATACCACTGAATTTTTTTGTGTGTATATGCTTCAGTAAAGGATACAAAGAAAACAAAACAGGAGAAGGAAACAAGACTAAAGTTTAATTAAGAACTCCTAACTAAAATAGAATTCTAAGAGTTCATTCTTTGATTTTAATAGATTTTTCCTAGATTTCTTCATATTAGATTAAAGAGTAGGTTACTGTAGAGATGGGTAGAAATGTTACCTGCATTTTTCATTTGCCATAGTTTTTCTTCATACCTTCTGTTTACCAGTTTATCAATCTTAAAGAATGTTCTTTGAAAAAAGTCCTACCTCTGTGCCTTAGTTTGGAGCCTTCTCATCTGTTGGAAGCTCTTACACTCTGAAGTTGCCATTTCTACTGATTGTATGCCTGTTAACTCCTTTGGGCCTGCTTATTATTATTTAAAATATCTTTTCCCTTTTTCACTCTGCTTATATTTTGTACATTTTACAGTAACCACATCTCCCCATTTCACTTTACCTCTCCTATATAAATTATTTAATTTTATTTTTTATTAGATAATGTACATGATTTAAAGCAAAAGGCACAGTTTACAGTGA